GTTCAGCAATTTCTTTCTGTGTCTTACCCTCTTGCTTGAGGGTGTCAATGATGGCCTTCTGGACAGCAGCCTGGTCGGCAGTCTTACCAATGATTGCGGTTTTGACTAATGAACAAGGCTGGGAGTTTTTAAAAGCCTCAGGAATCTTTTGCAGGTGTTTAGAGTTACGTCGTTGATTCAGATGGTTAGGTTAATAGCTTGTTTAGACAACCTTTTCATGATATGCTAATTTTTTGGGACAGGCATTTTGGGTTTTCATGAGCTGTATACCATAATCATCAGTATTAAAACAATTAAAGACCTGAAATATTTCAGTTGGTGTACAATTAATCTGAAATATATGAAAGTTTCATTTTTATCATTACATAATGGAAAATAATGACCTTCATCACAATATGCTAATTTTTTTAGAAGGACCTGTATATACCATACCATACCATACCATTTTATTTATAGAGCACTTAAAACAGCTACAAGGCCAACCAAAGTGCTGTACAGACAGAACAATGGACAACACACGAAGCAATATACAAAATGAAGTAAATTAAAAATATGGACATAAAAACGATGCAGATAATAATTATGACAACAAACTAGTGTGGAGCGTACAGGTTCAAAACACAGATCCTCTGGTGTTGAAAGCTACTGAATAGTTGTGAGTTTTTAAACGGGATTTGAAAACTGAGAGGGAGGGGGCCAGTCTGACAAGCAGAGGCAACTCGTTCCAAAGTCTTGGTCCTGCTACAGATAAGGCCCTGTCACCTCTGCGCTTAAGACGAGTTCCTGGAACTGTGAGGAGCCACTGGTCCGTTGACCTCAGGGAACGTGGTGGGACATACGGTTGTAGCAGATCAGAGAGATGGGGGTGCAAAACTGTTCAGTGATTTGTAGACATACAGGAGTATTTTGAACTGGATTCTAAGGTGAAGCCAGTGCAGTGAGACCAAAACTGGTGTAATGTGCTCTCTTTTGCCTGTACTGGTTAAAAATCGGGCTGCTGCATTCTGGACCAGTTGTAGTCGTGCAATGGAGGTCTGACTGATACCAAACAGGAGTGAATTGCAGTAATCAAGCCTAGATGTAATGAATGCATGTATTACTGTCTCCAGGTTATTTGTGGACAATATGGGCTTCAGTTTAGACAGCCGCCTCAGTTGGTAAAAACATGATTTAACAATCATGTTTACATGATTGTTAAGTTTCACGGACACCCAGATTAGTGACTCTTTGTTTTTCTGACAGGCTTAGTGTGGAATGGTCGATACAGTGGTTTGTGATTGTGTCATTGGGAGGGAACAACATGACTTTAGACTTCTTTTCATTGAAACTTAAGAAGTTTAAAGCCATCCAGTCCCTGATGTCAGCCAGGCAGTCGAGCAGAGGTTGATTAGAGCATGTACCATTGTGTCTTATGGGGAAGTCCATTTGACAGTCGTCGACGTAGAAGTGAAAGGGTATGTTGTATAGTAGTATGTCAACGGACAGCTTTGCTGTCGCTTCACTACTAAAAATTTAAATATAACGGGTTCTTTCTTTTTCGAGTTAAATTAATGCCATGTGACGAGATAACTGTGTTTATTGTTTAATCAGTGACATGAGACGTTATTTTGTTTGACCCATCAGAACAAATGCGGTCATTTATTTAACAGAATCAAAATTTAACATCAAAACATGTGCACAAGGATTTGTTGATCTGGTTCTGATTAATAAAAACTTGGCACACTACTAATAAGACAACAGGATATTTCTGATGGCATCTAGAAAGATTTACAAAATAGAAGAGTTTAAAGGAAAGAATAGAGAAGTTTCAAGGAGATGTATGTTTGGATTGACCAGAATTAGCACGCTTCTTTCAACACCAGCTCAAACCTCCGGTACACTTAGCGCGTGACGACTCGTTACCTTCGCAGAAGATGAATCAGCTCTGGTACCGGTCCATTTCAACGCTACCTTTCCAGCGTCTCCGGTTAGAGCGGCTGGTCATTGTCAGAAGTCGTGTCGATTTACTCCGTTCAACAAACAGGACCAGCTCCCTTCGAGGTTGTAGGCGTTACGCCCGGGTGGATTCACAGCAAGGCGCTGTGACTCCGTCAGAGATCCCACTCAGAAGTGGAATACTCACAGACTCCATGAAGACTCCAGTCCAAGACTGTTCCAAGCCTCAGAAGACTGAAGAAGCTTGAAGAAGACTCAGAAGAACTCAATAGTTCCAGGAAGTGTCGACTTTTAAAGAGTCTTCACTTCTGGTCACTTAATACTTCCTGATTGGTTGAAACAACCAACAGGGGGTGGTTCTAGTGATGTCAGAGGGTTATTAAAAGTCAAGAGAGGGTTCAGGAACGTTTAGGAACGTTTAGTACAGACAGAGAAATGTTATGGCGAAGTGAGACAAACGCAGATGCCAGTGTTTCTCTTTTTACCGTCTGTTAGGTTTAAAAACAATACAGTCCGTTCTAATAACTTGTTTTCTGACTGTCTCTGACTTTTGATCGACATCACTACTTCTCATTTAGACAGAAGATCAAAATGCATAATTACTTTGTAAATAGGCATTTAACTTGATTTCTAAGTCTAATGAGGTTTAAAAAAATCATTAATACTGTTTCACAGTTGATTTAAAATGAGTGGTTCACTTCAACATTAGAAATGATATGAACTAAACACACTTTTGATTATCAACATATTGTAAAATAGTAATGATAATATAAAAAGAAGAGTGTTCTTTCAATTGATTACTTCAGGATACAATTAGACAGTCTCTGGATAAGCTAATCTGTATTTCTGGATTCAAATCAATGAAATAACAGTTCCTGTCCCATGAAGGTCTTCAGAGACAGGTTTTGGTCGGAGGCCTAGTTCACTACAGTTGTGTTTCCGGAAAATAGCACCAAGTGGCAGCAGGTATAGAGAGAATAGGAGGGGACCCAGGATGGACCCCTGTGAAACCCCACATTTAAGCTCTGTCGCTGCAGAACTAAAATCCTTGATGGAGACACAAAAGGATCTGTCAGCAAGGTAGGATCTGAACCAATTGAGGGCTTACCCTGTGATGCCCACCCACTGCACTAACCTAGCAATGAGGATCTCATGGTCGATGGTGTCAAAGGTGGCTGTGAGGTCCAATAGGACAAGCAGCACAGAATCACCAGTATCTGTGGATCTGAAGATGTCATTAAAAACCTTCAATAGGGCAGTTTCAGTGCTGTGGAGAGGTTTAAAGCCAGATTATATGTATATATATATATATATATACATACATATGTGTGTGTGTGTGTGTGTGTGTGTGTGTGTGTGTGTGTGTGTGTGTGTGTGTGTGTGTGTGTGTGTGTGTGTGTGTGTGTGTGTGTGTGTGTGTGTGTGTGTGTGTGTGTGTGTGTGTGTGTGTGTGTGTGTGTGTGTGTGTGTGTGTGTGAATGGATGGATGGATGACATGCATATGCATGACAAGTTTGTTTAACACCACCACCACCAAAATAATTTCTTCAAATGTTATAGAAAAAGCTTCTTATGTGTTGTCCTTCTCATATTGTCCACAGGAATTGACTGGGCCCCTGAATCCAACCGCATTGTTACATGTGCCTCTGATCGCAATGCCTATGTGTGGACTCTGAAAGACAGTGTGTGGAAGCCTACACTGGTCCTGTTGCGCATCAACCGTGCAGCCACTTGTGTGAAATGGTCCCCGCTGGAGAACAAATTTGCTTTGGGCAGTGGAGCTCGACTTATCTCTGTCTGCTACTTTGAGAAAGAGAACGACTGGTGAGCTGGATTTGAATCAAACTGGAACTGTTAAAGTTTTTCATTCATTTTCTTTTTTGGCTGCTTATTTAAGGCTCTCCACAGCAAATCGTGTGCCTCTATCTCCTTATCCCAGCATATTCCTTTGTCACAACAACCTTCTGCAGATCCTCTTTACCAACATACACTAAACTTAACTTTGGTCTTCCTCTTTTCATCCCTTGCAGCTCTATACTCTACATCCTTTTTCCATTATTTTTATCATACACATTATTAATATTGTTTATGGGGAGTGGTGGCACAGAGGTTAGAGAAGGTGAGCCTGTGATCGAAAGATCGCCGGTTCAAGCCCCGGTACCAACAACATCAAAAATGTGGGTGGGGTAGGTGAAGCACCCACACCTGCCCCCACCCTCATTTGTCCCACTCTGGGCCCTTGAGCAAGGCCCTTAACCCCCCACCATCTGCTCCTCTGGGTGTCCTAGATAGTAGCTCTCTGCTCCACACAGAGGGCTGTGGTAGCTCGGTGGTCTGTGGTTGCATCAGGAAGGGCATCCGGCATAAAAATAACTGCCAAGTCTTCGTGAGACTTAGTTCGCTGTGGCAACCCCTGATGCAGGGAGCAGCCGAAAGAAGAAGAAAAAAAAAAATATATACATATGACATTTTGTGAACTTTTTGTGTGAACCTTTTGCTGCTGTTAAACTTGAATTTCCCATCAATGGGACAATAAAGCCTGATTCTATTCTATTCTATTCTATTCTATTCTATTCTATTATGTCCACTGTCCATCCTCTGTGCATGTCCAATCTTAAGTGTGTCCCTCTGTTTGTCATCAACTCTGTCTCATCCACCTTCAGTATCTCTACTCCTTAAAGCTTCACTCTTCCATTAATTTCCCTTTCATTCACATATAGACTCTGTCTGTTCTCGCAGTAGTCCTCAATCCTGAACCTCAAAGGCCTATTCTGTATGTTCAAGTTGTTTCCTTGCTCTTAAGCAGCTCTAACTCCACAAAGACACAATGGAGTTCTTTCTGACCCTCTCTGTACTTCTCCATCAGCATTCTCAAATCAAAGATGGTGTCTGTGGTGCTCTTTCTTAGCATGAAACCATACTACTGCTGATAAATAGTCACCTCTTGTCTGAGTCTAGCTTCAACAAGTCTCTCCTAGATCTTCATTGTGTGACTCCATCCATCCATCCATTATCTTTACCCATTTCTTCCTTTTTGGGTTGTGGGGATTGCCGCTGCCCATGTCCAACAGTCACTGTGCGAGAGGCGGGGGACACCCTGGACAGATCAGTCCATCACAGGGACACATAGAGACCAACGGGTCAAACAACCATTCACTCTCTCACTCACACCTAGGGACAAGTTAGAGTTACCAATCAGCCTAATGCATGTTTTTGGTCTGTGGGAGGAGACCTGAGTACCTGGAGAAAACCCATGCATGCATGGAGAGAACATGCAAACTCCACCCAGAAAGGCCCCTGGACTGAGATTTGGACCAGGGTAACCTGCTCGCTGAGAGGCTCTACTAGTTGCGCCACTGTGCTGTCCATCGTGTGACTCATCAACTTAATTCCCCTGTAGTTGCTACAACATCATCCTTGTTCTTAAAAATGGGCATCATTACACTTCTTCTTTATTCCTCAGTCATTTTCTCACCCTCAAATATGTCATTGAATATTCAAGTCAAAAACCTCACTGCCATCTCTCCAAGACATTTCCAAACCTCCACTGGTATGTCATCAGATCCTACTGCCTTCTCCTTCTTCATTCTTTTCAGAGTTTTCTGGACTTCACCCTGACTAATCTTTCCCACTTCCTGGTCCACAGTTTCTATGACCTCTATTTTTCTTTCTCTTTCATTCTGTTCATTCATTAGCCCCTCAAAGTATTCTTTCCATCTTTCAGTCACTCTTCTCATTTGTTAGAACATTACCATTCCTATCTTTAACAAGTCTAACCTGCTGCACATACTTTCCAGTCTGATCCCCCATCTCACCAATCAGTACAAGTCCTTTTTGCCTTATTTAGTGTCCAGCCTCCCATTCAACTCATCATATGCCTTCTGCTTTGCCTTTGCTACCTCCCTCTTTGCTCTATGTTGCAGCTCCTTATATTTCTGTCTCTTCTCTTCAGTCATCCCACTGTCATATTTCTTCATGGCTCACCTCTTTTTTTGAATAGCTTCTGGAATAGCTGTCTGGTTCATGGGGGTCACTGGTGCCACAGGTGCCCATGTCCAGCTATCACTGTGTGAGAGGTAGGGGACACCCTGGACAGGTCTCCAGTCCAACACAGGGACACATAAAGACAAACGAGACAAGCAACCATTCACTCTCTCACTGTCACCTAGGGACAATTTAGAGTTACCAGTCAGACTAGCATGCAGGTTTTTGGTTTGTGGGAGGAAACCAGAGTGCCCGGAGAAAACCCACGCATGCACGGAGAGAACATGAATAGCTTCCTGTACTTCATTATTCCACCACCAGGTTTCCTTATCATCCATTCTCTGTCCAGATGGAACAATAAGTACCTTCCTACCTGTCTCTCTAATTACTGTTGCTGTAGTAGCCCAGTCATCTGGAAGCTCTTTCGTACCACCTGGAGCCTTTAACAGCTCCTCTCTCAATTTCTCACAACATTCTTCATTCGTCAGCTTCCACCATTTGTTCTTCTCTGATTTTGCTCTTTTTCTCTTCTTCACAAGAACAGTCATTCTACACACAATCATCCAATGCTGTCTGGCCACACTCTCCCCTGTCACAACCTTACAGTCTCCAATCTCCCTCAGGTTTCCTCTTCTACACAGGATGTAGTCGACCTACGTACTCCTTCCTTCTCTCTTATAGGGCACTCTATGTTCCTCCCTCTTTTGGAAATAAGTGTTGACTATAGCCATTTATATTCTCTTGGCAAAATCCACCACATCTGTCCTTCCTGGTTTCTTTCCTTGACACCAAACCTACCCATCACTTCCTCATCCCTTCTGTTTCCTTCACCAACATGTCCATTCAGGTCTGCTCCGATCACCACTCTCTCCTCCTTGGGAATACTCTATCACTTCATCCAGATCCTTGCAAAATGTATCTTTCTCCTCGACATCACATTCAACCTGTGGAGTATAACCACTGTCAACATTTAACACCAGAACTTCTACTTCTACCTTCAGACACATCACCCTATCTGGCACTCTACTACACCTCTACTACATTATTTGTCAACTCCTCTTTCAGGACCACCCCTACCCCATTTCTCTTTCTGTCTACATCATGGTAAAACAGTTTGAACCCTGCTCCAATGCCGCAAACCTTGCTGTTCTTCCACTTGTTTTTTTGGACATATAAAACATCTACCTTCCTCTTGCATCATTTCAGCCAGTTCTCTACGTTTGCCTGTCATTGTCTCTTCAGTTGGAGTAGCTAACCTCAGTCCTACACTCTTTTCTTCTACTCCCTCTGTCTCCTAACACGTTTTCCTCATAACTATCTTCTAGCCTAAACTTAAGCTCAACTACCCTTCAGACACAGTGGTGGGATGTAACTAAGTACAAATACTTTGTTACTGTACTTAAGTACATTTTTCATGTATCTGTACTTTACTTAAGTAGAGTTAAATGTGGATACTTTATACTTTTACTCCACTACATTTTACATCAAGTATCTGTACTTTCTACTACACTACATTTCTATAATGCGTTGCATTACAAGTTACATTCATGTTGCGGCTTTTTGATTTGTTTGTTACTTTGAAAGTAACCAACGGTGAGAGGGGAGTTGGTCCATTGAATCACTGCAAAGTGGGCAGGTAACGTTAGGCCCACCTTCAAGAAGAGCTGGGCCAATGACATATATTCTAGTATATATGTCACTGAGCTGGGTGCACCCGCAGCACCGCTAACACACCCAAAATGTATTCCACCGCAAGAGAGTCAGCCAGAAGATATGCGCCACCCATGGCCTTATTGAAAGACTGCTCAGTACAACAGGACAGCTTCTCTATCCCAAAAGAGCCAGATTGAACTCAAAAATATTTGAAAACCAACTTCTTGTGAACTTGAACAAGAAATGATTGCTGCAATATTAAAATGTGTCAGTTCATGGGATGTTAGGAGACAAGAGATGTCTCCAAATGGTTCAATATTCAGGTCCAAGTTTTAAAAATGGTGTCAGGAAGTTAAAATATTGTTCTATATTGACCTATTACAAGGTTGAATAGACAGTATTTTAACTAGAGTTGATGACAAACTGGAGTTGAAATATCAGTGGAAATGATCAGAGCCTATTCCTTTGTTAGTTGTGTCTAATGCTTCTTTTGTTCAGGCAGACAACTTTTACTTAAATGTGTTTACTGCAGTTAAAATTACACATTCGTTTTGCTTTGTGTTCAATAAAAACTTTCAAAGGGAAAATCGTTCCTCTTTCTTATTTTGCTTAATGGCATGTCATCCCTGAAATTCTGACACACAGAATCACAAGTGTGAACTGTGTCACAGAGTAAACAATAAAAACGTATTATCTGCAGCATTGTTCATTAAAATGGCTCAACACTATTAATGTATTACAGAATATATACATATGGTAGGCAGACTTAAAGATATGTAGACCGCTGCATTATGTAATTAGGAAGTACTTTTACTTTTAATACTTTGAGTATTTTAAAAGCAAGTACTTTTTTACTTTACTTAAGTAAAAATGTTAATGTGGTACTTATACTTTTAGTAGAGTACATTTTTGTCTGTTTATTTGTACTTTTACTTAAGTACAGTGTTTGAGTACTTTCTCCACCACTGTTCAGACTGATGTATTTGAATTGTTTCAGTGCTGTACATTAAATTACAGGACTTTAACTTTTTAGGTGGCTGAGCAAGCACATCAAGAAACCCATTTGCTCCACAGTTCTGAGCTTAGATTGGCATCCCAACAACATCCTTCTGGCAGCTGGGTCCGCAGACTTTCACTGCAGGTAAAACCATCAACATAGTCTGCCTTTTCTTTCTTGTTAATACTGTAAACATGCAGATCCAAACAGAAGGAATGTATCCTCATGAAGATGTCAGCCAAACTGAATGCACACAATGTTAACACTGCCAACTGACATCCTCATTTAGGAGCATTCAATTAAAAGTTAAATTTCCAAAGCAAAACTTTGGAAAATATGCATTTCTTCAAGGAATGCAATGTTTTATTCTATTCTTGTTGGATCACAGAACCAACAGTTTGTATCATGTCTTTGTGCATCTCAGAGTTTTCTCAGCCTACATCAAGGACATTGAGGAAAAGCCTGGACCCACACCTTGGGGAGCTAAGATGCCTTTTGGGGAGGTGATGCTGGAACATAAGGACTGTGGTGGGTGGGTGCACAGTGTCTCTTTCTCCCCCAATGGAGAGCAGCTGGCCTGGGTGGCTCACAATAGCAGCATCACAGTGGCTGATGCAGCCCAGGGAAAAGAGTGAGTGTTTGTTTCTTTGTGTGGATCAGCATTAACTGTCTGCTGAGACAGCATTCACTCAGTTTCTTTCATATTTTCTCTGCAATCATTCTGTTTCAGCACACTTTGTGCTAGTTGAACCATTTATATATCAATTCAATTGAATTCAGTTTATTTATATAGGGCAAAGTCACAACAGGTCATCTCAGGGCAGTGGTGTGGATTTGAATCATATGACTTTAGACTTGGCTCGAAAAAATGTTCAGAGACTTCTGACTTGACTTGTACTTTACACCAAAGACTTGGAACTTGACATGGACTTTGACCTGCTTGCTTGAAAAGACTTGATATTTTACCCATAATCTAAAATTTAAAAACCACAGTGAAGTTAGTTTTAGGTTGGATATTCAAGCTCCATGGATTCAGCGATGTCTTCCACTCGTTCGATCCAATGCAGGCAGCCTGATTTCAGCCAGCTGTGCTCAGTCTATCTCCTCGTCAAAGACACAATGGTTCGCTTAGGGACCATCAATAAATTGCCAATCCAAACATTCTTGAGAAAAAAATTTGTAGCATTCATGTCACGTGACCCACTGACACAAAACAGTCCAGCACTACATCTCAGTCACTACCTGGATATTGCTGATGGACAGAACACCCTCTTGTTCTGGGCAGTGAACATACAGACTCTTCGTTCACTGTTTCATGTGGCCACCAGAGTTTCGGCAGTGCCTGCATGTAGCGCTCCACTAGAGCCAGTTCTATTTCGTATAGGCTTCGCCCTTTAAGGCTGTTGCTGGTGGGTTTATCTCTAGGCGCTCAGCGCTGCACTGAAAAACTTTAGTCCACGCCCACCTGCTATGTGTGGGCCTCACCCCCGGTCCGTATAAATTACGGTGAGACCGGGTAATCAGCTCCCATTTTTTTCTTCAGCCAGCTAGCTAGCACTGTCAGAAGAATGAAGAAGGAAAAGTTATCCAGGGTCCCTGTGATGGACTTGCGACCCGTCCAGGGTGTACCCCGCCCCTTGCACAGTGATTGCTGGACATGGGCACCAGCGACCCCCGTGACCCAAAATGGAATAAGCGGGTAAAGATAATGGATGGATGGATGGAAGTTATCCAGGTTTGACCGGCACAACCTTTGCTAAGGATGCCTGGGTCTCCGCCACGCCAACCTCCTGTCGTCCCGGTGAGCTCTTCCTTTCTGAGGAGAAGCAGACGAGCAGCCTTGTTCAAGGTAAGCGCCGAGGAGTGCTTTTCCGTGGCGGGCCTCTACCCGCTGAACGACGCCACAGCCTTTTCTAATGTGTTTTGTCCTCGCGGTAATCAAATGATTTCCTGAAAAAGGCAATGTTAGCAGCAGCCCCGCTGAATACTTTTCCGTGGAGGGCCGCTACTCGCTGGACGACGCCACCGCCTTTTCTAACGTGTTTTTTTCTCAAGGTAAATTGGATGATTCCCTTGAGAAAGGCGTTGTTGGCAGCAGCTCTGCTGTTTTTTTCTGTGGCGGGACGCTATGCGCGGAACGACGCCACCGCCTTCTTTGACGCAGAGTAACGCAGTGAATTGAATGATTCCTCCGAGAAAGGCGATGCGAAGCTGCCCCTTCCCTCCTGGAGAGCATAGTGACGGAAGACGAGTGGCCGAGCCGATGCTCAGCCACCTTGGATCTTCCCACGTCGGCGACCACACCGCTCCCAGCTGTCGGCGCCCTCCTCTCGGAGCTGCCCGGCATAATCCAGGAGGATGTTAACACAAGGAACTTTCCGTCCCTCACCTCCCTCCGCCCTGATCGGATGATCTGGTGGCAAGGTTGGCTCCGCCCTGACTCGTTGCCCTGACCCCATCTGGCCCTGCTCTCCAGCTGTGACGTCACTCTGGAACGAGGCGGCAGCTGGGCTGGCAAGCTGAGGACATCCGTCTCCACCTTCTCTTCCATCTCCAGAGTGGAGGGTTTTACCAATCAGTGTTTTTTTCCCTCGGTCCCGCCCCCCGGAGCCAAGCCTGGTGGTGGCACTTGGGGGCAAAAGCTTCCAGGATGGACCAGCAACCTGTCCCTCCAGGGAAGCATGACCAGATGGTGACAAGGTCTCCAACCGAGCTCACCAGTGCTCATTCCAGATGGCCGCAGCGAACAACAACGTCACCCTGCTGGCCTACAGCATCTCTAAGAGGCTGGAAGAAGCAGACCTGCTGGAGGAGACAAAGAGCTCTCTCTGTAAACTGCTGATGTCATATTAAACATGTGCCTCCTCTGCGATCTGCCTGTCTCGCATGGCTGCCTAGACGACCATGATCCAGAGGACCACTTGGCTCCGCCTCTCGCCATCCTTGTCGGAGAGGCTGCAGAAAGACCTGCTGGAGGGCCCTGTTACCACAGAGGTGCTGTTTGGGGCCAACTTCAGGACCGTCCTTGAGAAATTGCAGAGGTCCGAGGAGGTCTCAGAGACTGTACACCATCTGGTGACGTCACAGTCCATCTGCCCCTCCGGCCGCTGGAGGGACCGCCTTGGCCAGCAAGAGCACCAGAGGTGCTCCACAGCTGCGGCAGCAACTTTATGCCCCGCTCATCCGCCGGCCCCCTCCACCAGGTAACAGATCCTTGAGGGGAAGGTATGTGTTTTTTGATGATGTATGTTTTTGATATAAAACAGAAACACCTCTGAAAGTAAAGTTGCTCATCTGAGATTGTCAGATCAGCTGATTTCTCAGCTGCCTCTCTTCACACATTTCCCACACAGAACAAGCCAGTAACCTCTAAACAGCGTTTTAAATGGCACCGCAGTTCAGTAAATATCACAAAACACTCGTCTGCCACGTCAGCTAAAATGATGTTTTTTTTCAGCAGACCGATTCCGGTAAAATCCCTCGTTTTTCAGCCAGAGCCCAGTTTTTAATTTCTGCTGTTTTCTGCCCACTCATAGCGCAGTGGGAATAAACATATTTTATCCACGACAGCTGCAGCCTCAACCAAAACGGCGTCTCACTCAGAAAACACTCACGCCTCCTCTCGGTGCATGCCAGCTCACCTCAGCTCTATGTGAGACCGCAGCCTGAGCCCAGCACAGAGGCGCACATAGAGCCCTTTTTTTTGTCGGAGCCCCCTTTCGGTTCCCCCGGAGAATCTCTGGAGCAAGTGATGGCATTAAGGATTTTTTAGTCTGATTGACGTTCATGAGAAACATCACACAACATAAATGCGTGCACGCTCTCCGAGCGATACTCAGAGTGGCGGTGAGTGTGTTCCCTGGACAGATGGACGGGCCATCTGATCAGAAGGGGTTACACGCTGCAGTTCACAGCTCAACCCCCACTGTTCAGAGGGATTATAGAGACAGTTCTGTCTTCTCCAGAACAGAGCTTGTCTCTCCAGTCAGAAGTTCAGTAATTTCTGACGAAAAATGTGATTTCCAGAGTTCCCAGCAGAGAGGAAAATACGCTTTTTTTCCCTCCCACTATTTCCTGGTTCTGATTTTTTTTTAAACGGAGGGATGAGACCCATTCTCGACCTGTTCATGTTCAACAATTTGATCATGGGGAAACAAATCCACATGCTGATGAACAGCTGCTGTAGAACTTCACCAGAACGACTGGTTTTCACCTCCATAGATCTGAAGAGCACATATTTTCACATTTCCATCATTCTGAAACACCCCACGCACAATTTCAAAATGTGTGGAGATAGCTCTGCAGTCATTACACATAGCAGGAATGAGAAATCTTTTTATCTGGACGATCTGCTCTTATTAGCTTGGTCCAGTCACACAGACTAAAACACTAGTGTTACACCTGCTAAACCTAAGGTTTCTATAAACTGGGAAAAATTTCTGTTTGTCCGTCCCAGATGATTGTTTATCTGGAAATGGAGCTAAACTCAGCTACAATGAGAACTGTTTATCACAGCTGACAGCCGAAGCTCTATCAGCTCAGCTCCTCCGTGTCAAACCCAGCTCCGCATTGTCAAACCCTGCAGCATAGTGACAGTTCTGCCTGTCATGCGACTCCTGAGATGATGTCAGCGGCCCACATCGTGGTTCCGCTGGGCCTACTTCACATGAGACGCCTTCAGAGATGGTTCACCCACCTGCGCATAGATCCTGTGCGCCAGAAGAGGTGGATTATCTTTGTGCCCCCCCACCCCCCGTGAGAACCAATCTAAATCACTGGGGAAACCCCCTCATTCTGTCAGAGGGAGTTCCCATCAGTAGGCCTACATCACACGTCTCAGTTTTTCACAGACGTGTTCCTGTCAAGCTGGGAGGAATGTGTCTGTCCCAAGCAGTGGGAGCACAGTGGCTGGACCACACGTCGCTTTACATAATGTGCTAGAATATTTTTCACGGTCTGAAACGTGACTCAGCATTTTGCCCCTGCTGCGAGATCAGCATTTTCTGATCCACACAGACAACAAGTGACGCCAGTTTACATAAACCGTCAGGGAGGTGTGCGCTCAGCCCAACTGTTTCACATCGCAAAATAGCTGTAGTGTTGGCCACACAGAAACCTGCTCTCCATCAGAGCAGTAGACTTTCCCAGCATTCCTGAACAAGTGAGCAGATATTGTGTCGAGGGGCGGTCCCCACCACAGAGACTGGAGCCTCCATCCCAAGCTGATTTCTCAGATTTTGGAGCAGGTTTGGCTGAGCAGCAGTGGATCTGTCCTCCACACGGGAGAACGCCCAGTGTCAATTATGGTTCTCACTGAGCCCACGAGACGACTCACCATTAGGAGTGGATGCCTTCGCTCACAGCCCTTGGCCAAAAATGCTCCTTTATGCCTTTCCTCCAGTCCTGCAAATATCATGGACCCTGGACCGGGTTCGGGAAGAAGTACCGTCAGTCATCCTCATAGCTCCTGAACGCATATGCGCTCCGTGGTTCCTGAATCTGCAGCGACTGATCGGCTGTGGAAACTGCTGTGTGTGTGTGTGTGTGGGGGGGGGGGCACTCTCCGCCAGGCAGGAAGAGCAATCAGGAGTTACCCAGAAATAGGTCAGCATCTTTGGGTCTGTCCGCTGA